TGGCTGCCGGCCGCCATCTTGGCTGACAGTTAATTTGCATAAGGATACGCTGATTAGCCAATGGGAAGGGTAGCGGTCGTACGCCAATTACCATGTTTCTCTTTTATTAGTGTAGATGTTTATACCCATGAAATTGTCACCAAAATTATGATAATGAAATATCCATCACATGCAAAGATTTCTTTGTGTGTCTTTGTAATCTACTTTCCACCCCCCACCACCACCCCTATTCCAAACTGGGCAACCACTGATCTGCTTTCTGACACTATAAATTAATTTGTGTGGTTTTTTAGAATTTTATATACTGGAATCATATAATATGTACATTTTTTTGGTTTGGCTTCTTTCACTCAGCTCAATGTTATGAGATTTATCCATGTTGTTGTGGCTATAGTAGTTAATTACTTTTTAAGGCTGAGTAATATTCCCTCCATGGTACACCACAATTTGTTTCTCCACTCTCCTTATGATGGACGTTTGGGTTGTTTCCAGTCTGAGGCTATTACAGATAAAGCTGCTGTGGACCTTTGTGGTCTTTATATGGACATATGCATATCATTTCTCTTGGATAATATCTAGAGAGCTGGAATAGCTGAGTCATATATAGGTGTATGTTTAACTTTTTAAGAAACTGCCAATCTCTTCCCACCAATGTATGAGAGTTCCTGTTATTCTTCATTCTAGCCAATATTTGGTATAGTAGATCTTTTTAATTTTAGCCATTATAATGGGTGTTTAATAGTATCTCATTTGGTTTTAGTTTACATTTCCCTAAAAATTAATGATATTGAGCATCTTTTCATATTTTGGGGGGCTCCCCTTCTCTGTGCTGCAGCCTTGAAACTCCAGGCAGTAATCTGGGACAGTTGTTGGGGTTCACCTGATTTGCCTTCCTTCACTCTTACTGTATTGTTGAATGCCTGAAAAATGCTCTTTTGTATATTTTGTCTGATTTTATAGTAGTTCAAGGCAGAAAGGTAAATTGGTTCCTGTTATTCCATCTTGAATGGAAGCAGAATTTATTTTTATATCTTTGCTTGAGAAAAAAAATCTTTATGTTTGAGCCATATTAGTTCTACATTTGTGTTAAGCTGTCAAACAGATGCTTCTCCAGATGCCTCATTGGAGCTGATATTTCAATCAGATGTATAAGAAGATAAAAAAAATTTTCCTGTTAATTTTCTTCCCAAAGCTCCTCATATCTCTGGCAGTTCATGTTGCTTATTTGTGCACTTACATAAGTATGGGGATTATGTGGATCATGTTTAAAAACACCCCTTGTGTAATATTAGTTGAGTGTGAAACTTGAATTAAGAGCTTAGAAAGATCTAAGCTGAGTACTATATTTAGGGGAAAAACATGCAACTATTGGTTGTTTTTCTGGTTGAACTTTTTGAATGACTTGAAGTGCTTTTTTGGAGTGTTACCTATTTTGAACATACACATAGTAGTCAACCTTTATTTAACAACAGAATTTTAGACTTCAAATTAAATTTCATTTTTAATTGAAGGTTTTTAAAAATCTTCTTACCAACTTATAATAGCAAAAGAGGGCTGCAATTTGGAGAACTGCATTCTTATCTTGCTAGATAACATTAGGCAATTCACTTGACTTTTCCTTATTTCTAAAATGAGAGGATTTGACCACTTCTCAACCCTAAAACATTGATTCTAGCAGTGTATTTCTATATATACATTCATATAGATTAATCACTTGTTTTCTTATATTTGTATTGATACTTTACATTTTCTAGGTTGTCCTTCCTTGGGACTTGGGTATAGAATTCAAGGACAAGCTGGAGATTAGGTTCTTTCAAATAGTAATTGGACTTACACTAACTGGAGTAAATTAGAGCCTAGCAGATGTGTGACACTTCTAAGATTTACTCTCTATTGTGAGGCAGAGCAAAAAATAGTGTGTTCCTGAAATGGAACCAACTCACTTAACAGAAATTACGGATTTATTTTACAGAAACTTGGCGTATAACTTTAATGGCCTCTGATGAAAATTGGATCATAAATAAAGACTCTCCTGTATTTGCTTTGACAACTTTAGAGTTATAAAAACCAATAAAAAAGCCCTACTGTATTTGTGGCCACACACAAATTCCATAACTCTTTAACCCCCACTAATTGAAGGTATATAAGTAAAAATGGAGATTTTTGATGTTTGGATATAATTTAGAATAGAAATGTTTTTCCATTTAATGCTACTTTGTAAAGAAACCTTGAAATGTAAGTCATCTGAAAGGGTAAACACGTATAAGCATGAGCAGCTGTTTAAGACGGATTATGTTAACTCTTTGGAATAAAAATACCCACTTTTGAGTCACATATATCCCCATGTCAGTAGGTTTTTTGTTGTTTGTTTTGTTTTTAATAAACTCTTCTTTAGATCAGTTTTAGGTTTATAGCAAAATTGAGCAGAAAGTACAGAGAGTTCCCGTACACTCCTTTGCCTATCCCTTACTATTGGCATTCTGTATCACAGTGGTACATTATAATTAATAACCCTCCAACAAAACATCATTATCACCAAAGTCAATAGTTTGCATTAGAGTTCACTGTTGGTGTTGTACATTCTCTGGGTTTGGACAAATGCATAATGACATGTATCCACCATTGTAGTATTATACAATAGTTTTTATTGCCCTAAAAATCCTCTGTTCTTTGCCTATTCATCCTTCTCTCACCCCAACCCCTGGTAACCACTGATCTTTTTACTGTTTTCATAGTTTTGCCTTTTTCAGAATGTCATGTAGTTGGAATCATATGCTATGTAGCCTTTTCAGATTGGCTTTTTTCACTTAGTAATATGCACTTAAGTTTCCTCCATGTCTTTTCATGGCTTGATAGTTCATTTCTTTTTAGCACTGAATAATATTTCATTATCTGGATATACCACCATTTATTTACCCATTCACCTACTAAATAACACCTTGGTTGCTTCTAAGTTTTGACAGTTATGAAAAAAGCTTCTATAAATGTCCATGTTTAGGTTTTTGTATAGATATGTTTTTAATTCACTTGCAAATATACCAAGGAATATAAGGATCATGTGGCAAGAGTATGTTTACTTTTGTCAGAAACCACCAAACTGATTTCCACAATGGCTATATCATTTTTTTATAAGATACCATTAAGCCCCTTTTATTTTATTTTTATATATTTATTGATTTCACTGAGCAACACCAGCTGGGCAGCTATATCATTTTGCATTCATACCAGCAGTGACTGAATGAAATCCTGTTGTCAGCACTTGGTGGTGTCAACTTTCTGGATTTTGATATGTAGTGGTATCTTGTTTTAATTTGTAATTCCTTACTGACATGATGTGGAGCACCTTTTCATTTACTTACTTGCCATCTGTATATCTTCTTTGGTGAGCTTTCCAGGTCTTTTGCCCATTTAAAAAATATATATTTTTATTAATATGAGAGAGAGAGGAGGGAGAGGGATAAATAGAAACATCGATCAGCTGCCTCCTGCATGCCCCCCACTGGGGATCGAGCCTGCAATCCCAGGCATGTGCCCTGACTGGGAATCGAACCAAGGACCTCTTGGTTCTTTGGTCCATCCGTGTTCAACCACTGAGCCACACCAGCCGGGTTTTTGCCCATTTTTAAATTGGGTTGTTTCTTATTGTTGAGTCTTAAGAGTTCTTTGTATATTTCAGATAACAGTCCTTTGTCATAGGTGTCTTTTGCAAATATTTTCTCACAGTTTGTGACTTGTCTTCTCATTCTCTTGACATTGACTTTAGCAGAGGAGAGTTTTTTAATTTAATCAAGATTAGCTTATCAGTTAACTTTCATGGATCATGCCTTTGGTGTTATATAAGTTATATAAGGTTATATAAGTTATATAAGTTTTCTCCTTTGTTATTTTCTAGGAGTTTTATTGTATTGAGTTTTACATTTAGGTCTATGATCATTTTTTAGTTAATTTTTGTGAAGAGTCTCAGGTCTGTGTCCAAATTCATTGTTTTTTGCATGTGGATGTCTAGTATTCCAGCACCATTTGTTGAAAAGACTGTGTTTGCTCCATTGCGCCTGTATTGTTATTGCTCCTTTGTCATAATTATGAGTTAGATGTTTTACTCCTACTTTCTTAAGGAGCCTTGAAGAAGATTGCTTTGTCATATATATTCTAGTTTCAACACTTGAACCACTAAGGATTACTAAGTTGAATTTCAGCTTGTAAAGTAGAATAGTGAAGAAAAGCAGTTATGTTTGAGACAAGTGACACAGTCTAAGCCAGTGATGGCAAACCTATGACACGCGTGTCAGAGGTGACACGAGAACTCATTTTTTTGGTTGATTTTTCTTTGTTATATGGCATTTAAATATATAAAATAAATATCAAAAATATAAGTCTTTGTTTTACTATGGTTGCAAATATCAAAAAATTTCTATATGTGACACAGCACCAGAGTTACGTTAGGGTTTTTCAAAATGCTGACACGCCTAGCTCAAAAGGTTCGCCATCACTGGTCTAAGCTGTTATTTAATAGAAATACTTTTGAGTTAATGCAAAAAATACTTAACATTCTTTTAGATCTAGTAATTTATTTAAAAGTGTGCTAAATTCTGCTTCTTACCCTTAAAACCCAAACTAGACATTCAGTGAGCTCTGAATTTTTTCTTGAAATGCAAAAATCAAGAAGAATGAAATTTTAAAAAACATTGATTTTTAGAATGGTTCCTAGCTTTGGAGTTACTGTCTCATGGCTGGAGGACTTAAACTGTAAACCAGTATTTGTTTTTCTTTAACTTGTATCACTATTAAATTGCATTATATTTACATTATGGAAGTGGTATTAGCTTTGACTTGCATATGCTCAAATGTATAAAGAAATCTGGGAAGTAATGAAATATCCTATGTTAGACAGCGTGGAGTGACGTATGTCCCGTGTCACAGGTTTATGTCCACTCTGGAAGGTAATCCTCATTCCTATTATACTGATTATTGCCTTGTGGGAATATTTGTGTTGCCAGGTCTTTCAGTTTTTTAAGAGGAGCCAAAAAAAATCTGGATTTTTAAGAATCTGAAATCTCCCAATTTTGAAATACTGACAAATAATGCAAAATTGAAAAATATTTTTGCAGGTGAAATTGAATATAGCTATGGTCTGAATGGTACTGCTTTGTAACTTCAGACCTAAGGGGATGCTTCTTGGAAATAAATATAAGGCTTTAGATGCCCTACTTAATGTATACCAGTTAAGAAGAGAGGCTTACAAACACTTGTTGATGAGAATGTTTTATGCTTCTAAGTGTAGATATTATTTTCTATGACACGGATACATAGACATATTTTTTCTCAATTTCTCATTTAAGGTCTCAGCCAATTTCCTCTCCAGTCATCCTTCAGTTTGGTCATGCAGAGACTCTTCTTCCACTGCTTTCTCTCATGGGCTACTTCAAAGACAAGGAGCCCCTCACAGCTTACAATTACAAGGAACAAATGCATCGGAAGTTCCGAAGTGGTCACATTGTACCTTATGCCTCAAACCTGATATTTGTGCTTTACCATTGTAAAAATGCTAAGACTGCTAAAGAAGAATTCCGAGTGCAGTTGTTATTGAATGAAAAGGTGTTACCATTGGCTAACTCGCAAGAAACTGCTTCTTTGTATGATGATCTGAAGAACCATTACAAGGACATCCTTCAGAGTTGTCATACCAGTGAAGAATGTCAATTACCAAAGGTGAACAACACATCTGATGAGCTATGAATAACTGGAGAACATTTTTAATTCATCAGGAATCTATAGGGCGTGATTACATGCGTGGAGTAGGTGGGCAGTCCCTGGTTACAGAAAGCTTTCACATTACTTGGGTATTTCTGTCTTCATAGAAAAACAATGAGTTTCTTTTTTAGTCTGGACATGAACGTGTAAGCAACAATTCTTCACTGGAGCAGCTCTCTTAAGGGGAAAATACCTATTCAAAGAAATAGTTGGCACTGCAAATGTTTACAGAAGTTAAATTCTTCCTTTTTATATAAGAAATCTCACACAGAATATGTTTTCCAAATAAAGCTTGAAAATGCTGGAGTAACAAAGTATGTCAGTTGGATGATCCATAACTTGATTGAACCTTGTCTAGGAACTTTACCAGTTGTGCTGCAATTCTCTCTTTTTTTTCCTCAAGTAGCACAGTTCTAGTATTATCTTTCTTAATCAGAAATATTGTGATACACTGGGAATATCATTTTGGAAGAAAGTTAAGATCTCTGAGAATTTGAAACAATATTAAGCAGTCTGATGTAAAAGGACACTTTCACTGAAGAAAGACAAAAAATAAAATAAATGTTTTTGTTAGTAGTATTTATAAAATGTATACACACTTTGAATAATTATAAAAGCAATGTTTATTAAAAGACATTTCATTTTCAAAATGTAGTAGAATCAGCTGCTAAAGTCTGTGTATACATTTTTGGGGGACGGCCTATATTTTGCTATTACATCTTTTGAAATATGTTTTGCTTGCTTAATTTTTTTTTATTCCTTTTGTTTATTATTAATTTCAGGGAGGAAGGGAGAGAGAGAGAGAAACATCAATGATGAGAGAGAATCATCAATTGGCTGCCTCCTGCATGCCCCCTGCTGGAGATTGAGCCCAAAACCTGGGCATGTGCCGTGACCAGGCATCAAACCCTGACCTCATGAGTCAATGCTCAATTACTGAGCCATACTGGCCAGGCTCTTTTTTAAAAAGTAAAGACTATCCTGACTGGCTTAGTTTCACAGATATGAACCCATTTTTTAAAAAGAGTTCTGAATTCTGTCAAATACCATGCAAGTTTTTGCTATAATAATAAGCAGAATTCTTGCCCTGGCTGGCTTCACTCAGTGGTTAGAGCGTTGGCCAGCAGACTGAAGGGTTGTGGTTTTGATTCCCATCAAGAGCACATACCTCAGTTGCTGGCTCCATCCCCCACCCCATCGGAGTGTGCGGGAGTCAACCAATCTATGTGAGACCAATGTCTCTCTCTGTCTCTCCCCTCCCTTACACTCTCTCTAAAAAAATCAATGGAAAAAATATCCTTGGGTGAGAATTAAACAAACAAAAGACAAAATTCTTGGTCTTTTCTACTCTTTGTGTTGATAAACAATCAGTCATTGATGGTAAAAGTTTGGGAGTTTAAGCAGCTTTGACTAAATCAGGCAATGCAAGGCAATTTTCTTGTAATTGAAATATTCTCAAATAAATGGAAATCCATTTTATTAAAAAATCTAAGGAGCATCACAACTATATATTGCAATTATAAAAAAAGATGCATAGATCATTGATCTTCAAATTAATAATGTTCTTAAAATAGATAATTAGCTGGTAAATCCTGTTGATCCATTAATATACTGCTGATTGTTCCTGCAAAAATGTCTGGTGCTTGCTTTTTTAAAAACTATGTAAATAGGTAGATAAGAAGAGAATAAGGTAATGAACATTTATGCCCATTGTCCTCTTTGATGAAAATTAGCATTATAATATTTGACTTGGATCCAAATAAGAACAATTGAGGACTTATATGCTTCCCTGATGCTATTGCCCTCACTCACTGCCAGCATAAAATTCAGTAATCACCATTCCATTACATGCTTGACTCTGGAAGCTTATAGTATTATTGTGGAAGTTTTAAAATATTCTATAAAAGGACATACTGTGCATAGTATTCTTGAATCTGCTGTATTTGTTTTTCAAGACTTATTAATCCTGATCATTTGTCACAAATTAGTATCATCAATTCATTAATACCTGTTGAGTACTTTTTATGTAGTCTGTGGGCATCTAACGTTGAATGAACACAATTCTTACAACTTACATGTGGAACTTACAGCAGTTGTTTAATTTCATTGTTAAATAGAACGATGTCATCTTTGTAGTCATTGCTAAGTAAGATATTTCAGGATGATGGGTAAATGTGGTCCATTTGTGCTAATACAGAGCTAGAGCTAGAGATATTATTCTGGTGCTATTATTCTCATTTTGGAAATGCCTGAAACAAGAATATCATGATGAAATCTAAAGGTCTTACCCAGGATAGGATATATCAAAAATAATAGGTGACCAAATTACTTCAGTTAAGCCAAATTGAATCCTGTCCGACATGACATTTTAGCCTATGGACATTCGCCATTTTTCTGTTTAATCTACAAGTTCATGAGTGCAGTGTATTGTACTTACTGGTTTTTCTAATCATTTTGAAGTTTCTGCTCTCCAACACACATAATCATCCACTGGATACTATTTTTGTACATACCATAATCTTGATCTTTAATTTTAATACTGAAAGCAAAACTCAACTTGTAAAGAAAAAAGAGCTTGTTTTTTCCAGACATAATCAACTTTCATATCTTTACGTGAGTGCTTTCCTTTTGTAAACTGTAGAACTGACAGAGGCCCTTAAATTTCCGGAAGTTAAAGCAACCAAACCAGAATATATAAGTATACATTTTTGGATTATATTTCTCTAAGGTGACATTTCATGTGGTTCATTAATTATCTTTGGAATTTGGACTGTCTTCTGCCAAATGTAAGCCTAAAATAAATATTTGCATTGTCATATAATTTGCCTATATCTAACTTCTGTACTTCACAGATCACTTAATTCTCTCCTAATCATTCGTTTTCTCTTAAGCATTTTAAGCAGCTCAATTCACTTTTAAGCACTTCCACATTAATCTATTAAGCTATTTTTAATTGGTGTGTGTGTGTCTGATAGTTTTTTTGAGAAAATTTCACAGCAAGAAAAAGATGTCATATTCTTCCAGCTAAAAGATTTGTAGTTAGAGCTCAATGCCTGGCAGTTTAGGAGGAGGTTAACTTTTAAACTTTGTTTCACTATCTTTACTGAGATAATACATGTTTATATAGGATTCTTAATTTTATTTCTAAAATTCATAATTTATTATTTCCCTGTACTATTCCCAGATTTTATTTTTTTCTTTATTGATTAAAGTATTACATATGTGTCCTTATTCCCCCATTGCCCCCCACCCTTCCCCCACTCTTGCCCTCCCCCCGCTGGTGTCTGTGTCCATTGGTTAGGCTTATATGCATGCATACAAGTCCTTTGGTTGATCTCTCCACCTTACCCCCACCCTCCCCTACCTTCCCTCTGAGGTTTGATGGTCTCATCGATGCTTGTCTGTCTCTGGATCTGTATTTGTTCATCAGTTTATGTTGTTCATTATATTCCACAATATTCTCAGATTTTAAACCATTATTTAGACCCAAGCATTTCATGTTCACACTTTTATTTGTTGTACTGGGAGAACAATATTTGTTCATTAAAATGGCAGCTTTCCAAATTGAATAGTACTCCTAGTATAATGAGAAAGTTTTATTAGAATATTCATTTTACATTATTTCTGAAATGGGTAATATGGAAAATTAAGTTGGGATAGCAATCTACAGATTCTCTCAGCTTTTTTCATTAGAGTTCATTCTACCAGCCTTGGTTTTGATTGTCTTTTTACCGAATATTAACAATTTGGATGCTTTTGAAAATCTTTTCAACGAATACTCTCATTCTGGAAAAAAATAATCCAGTTTTGATGTAAATTATATAAGAACTAGAGTCCCGATGCACGAAATTCTTGCAAGAATAGGCCTTCCTTCCCCTGGCTGATGGCACCGGCTTCCCTCGCAGCTCCGGCTTCATCTGGAATGTCATCCAGAAGGACGTCTGGTCTAATTAGCATATTATGCTTTTATTATAGATATACTGGTGAAATATATCTTTGGATACATACAGATGAGAAAGTTTTCTTTAATAAGAAACATTCCAAGTTGGAGATAGGAAGAACACTAATTTTGATCCAGCCATTACTTTCTTTTCCTTAAAATTTTTTTGTTTTCCTTGCCTTCCTGGGAAAGTAAGAAGACAAGTCTTGGCAAGACGATGTAGTGCTTTTTTCTTCTGTCTGCAGTGTTGCTCCCTGAAACTTTGTCACTCTTTGCAATATGGAGATTAGGATGAGAGCTTGGTTTTCTAATTTGACTATTTTAGATATAGCTTTGTAGTTTCCTTAAAGAGTGCTACAAGTGCTACCCATGGTGGGAAAAATATAACTGAGTTCCACAGCTTTTCTTGCTACTTTAGTACTGGATGACTAAAAGAGATTGGAGGAAAGATACCGAGATTTAGGGGGCAGAAGGCTGAAGCAATGAGATAGAAACAATCCTTGGCTTTCCTTGCTGAGAGATAAAACATGAAACTCCTTAATGGGGAATGAGAAGTAGCTGGAGCCTGGCCCGCATGGCTCAGTTGCATGGCCTTGTACACTGAAAGGTCGCCAATTCCTGGTTAGGGCACATACCCAGGTTGTGGATTCGATTCCCGGTTGGGACTTGTACAGGAGGCAATTGATTGATGTTTCTTCCTCACATTGATGTTTTCTCCCTCTCCCTTTCTCTCTAAAATCAATAAAATAAAATACTTAAAAGGAGTGGCTGGGGTTTTACAGCCACTTTAGTATGGTTGCAAGCATCAGGTCTTCCTATATTTACTGTTTTTTTCCCATACATACATAGCTTTTCACTTGAAGCGCTTTATGGCTTCTCTTTGGCATGTCTAAATTGCTGGCATCGCTACTCTTATACTTGGGGGCCATTATTAAGTAAACTAAGGGTTACTTGAACGGAAGTACTGTGATACTACAACAGCTGATCTGATAACAGAGATGGGTATTAGGTGACTAATAGGCAGGGAGCATATACAATGTGGATACACTGGACAAAAGGATGATTCACATCCAGGTGGGACAGAGTAGAATGGTATGAGATTTTATCAGCCTACTCAGAACAGCACACAATTTAAAACATGAATTTTTTATTTCAGAAATATTTCCATTTAATATTTTTGGACCTCAGTTAATGGGATAATTGAAATCATGGAAAGTGGAACTGGATAAGGGGGCCTACTGTACTTGCTTTGTCTAACTGCGATCAGCTTAGGTCTTTAAAAAGTAGAAGTGTAGCTGGCCCAGCTGGCGTAGCTCAGTGGTTGAGCATTGACCTATGAACCAGGTTCGATCCGGTCAGGGCACATGCCTGGGTTTCAGGCTCGATCCCCAGTGTGGGGCGTGCAGGAGGCAGCTGATAATGATTCTCTCATCATTGATGTTTCTATCTCTCTCTTCCTTTCTTAAATTAATAAAAAAATATATATGTTTTTTAATAAGTAGAAGCGTAACTGGAAGACTCCTCCAATCCATGGGCCTATAGCAGGTCTAAAATCTCTTTGGTTACTAATTACTTTATAAGCAGTATTATAGATAGGGGTACATGTATTTGTTAGCATTTGCCCAACACGGATGTGTGA